TTCACTGTAATTATTCGTTAAACGCACGTGATAACCATCTATGGAAATTGAATATGATTTTTTTACAAACAAATCGAAATGATTAATGTAATGCAGGATAAGATCAACAGCCTATAAATTGATCTGCAATGTGGCTTGATATTTGGAGTTGATCTGATTCCAATCTAGAGAAAGGTTAACAAGGTTATAATATTTGTTTGTGGATCAAAGGTGGCAGTTGAAATGAACAAATTTTTGGTGATTGGAATTGCACTTCTGGTGTGCTTCATGCTCCAATGTGAAGAAGTCCGTGGGAAAGAATATATAGTGGGAGATGAGAAAGGATGGAGAGTTGACCCTAACTTATCTAACTGGACTGATGGAAAGAAGTTCAATGCTGGAAATGTTTTGGGTAAGGTATATACTTTGCTTTTCGTTTCAATTATTTGTTTTCAAGATTAATCACTAGCTAGCTAATTTTTTGTTTTGTTTACTTATTTTTTTGTTTTGCCGATTTTGGAAATAGTTTTCAAATATACAGATCCTACTCTCTTCATAGCTGGTATACGAGACAAGCATTCTTATGAAATTTGTGGCATATATAATGGTGATACAATCACATATGGCTCAGGAAATGATCATGTGGTATTAAAGGCAGGCACAAAATACTTCGCAGCTGCTAATGTAAACTATTGTAGAGCCGGAGCGAAAATTAAGGTTGATGTCGAGTAGCTAAATAAATTTAAACATGATGCGTGTTAAATTATTATGCTCTAGGGCTAGACAAACGGGCCCTGAGCCCGCGGGTAAGGGGCGGGGCGGGTATGGGGCAAGTCCTGTTTTTAAATAGGGAAAACGGGGCGGGGCGGGGCGGGTCAGGGCAATGACATTTTAGGGTCAGGCCGGTTCCAGATGTATAGAAAAACAGGGCCCCAGACTGGCCCGTTTGTAATTGAAATGGACGGCCCAGATTGAAAATAAACATACCTTCCAATCATGACCATTGGTTTTTACCCTAGTTGAATCTGATCGAGTGAGTCTTACTCTCTCTCGACCTCGACCTCTCCGTCTCTCGACCTCGACCTTTCGGTTTCTCGACCTCGACCTCTCCGTCTTTGACCTTGCCCCCTTCCCTCCCCTGAGCCCCTCCCTTCCACGGTTCCACCACCCACACTCCGTCACTCCCCATTAGTCATCTCCTTGCCCACCCCCGACATCACCGCCGTCATGAGTATGGGCCTTGACGACCACCACGGCTGATCTTCTTCTTGATTGTTCTCTTCAACGACATCTCACCCCAAACCTAGAGAACCCAGGCACCCGCACCACCCATCTTCTCGATTCTCCTTCTCTCCTTCCCAACGACATCACTGCCGTCGCGATCACTAACACTTCATCGCCATTTCTAGTTCAGGTGAATTCTTTAACCTCTTTTTTTATTTTTTATTTTTTATTTTTATAGGTTCTTTAATCTCTGATGTTTGTAACTTTGTAGTTTGAACTTTGATTTGATCTATTGGGATGTATCATGTATGTAATTTGTGCTCAATCTATTGGGATGTTCATGTTTGTTCTTGCTGATTTGGTGGATTTTCTGATTTTTTTTTAGCTTGTTTATTAGGTGTTTTCAGATTTAATACTTAATTGAGCTGAATTTTCGTACCTGCAAAAGAAGCAAAATTTGTACTAAATTTTTACTCCAAAGGTTCATATTAAGGTTAACAGTGTTTTCATAAATTTGTATTGTCACAAATTCACAATTATGTTCATACAAACTCATGTATTGCTGATGAATTGGCGGGTAATGTGTTCTACTTTAATGGTAGTATGGTACCAATTATATATATGCAGATGGTTTTCACTTGGGATCAATTTTCTCAGTTGTGTAATGGTTGAGTTAATTATCATTGGATTTTGTTAGTGTCGTATTGTAGATGGACCAGTCTTCTCAATTTGCCATATTCTTTAGTTTCAACATCACTGCTATATTTGGATTTTGTTGTTGTTATCTGGTTTTGTTCTTTAATTTTGTTTTTCTGGTCTATGCTTAGAAAGTTTAAGACTTTATGGTTTTGTTCTTTGGTTCTGTCTTTGTGTGTGTGTGTGTGTGTGTGTGTGTGTGTGCGCGCGTGTGTGTGATTTGTTTTTTTTTTTCCAGTCTTGGTGGTTTGTGTGTTCGATTGTTTCTGTCCAGGTTTTGGTATGGATTGCTGGAGTAATGACATTATTTGTGCTTTAAGGTATATCAACTTGGGAATGCTCTTCTTTTTTTAATTAATAACTTCTGCTTTTATATTTTGAGTTGTATTGAACGTTATTTGAAAGTGGTACTTTGCATTCGAAGATAATATGTTTTTCTGGTGAGAACAGTTCACACACCCAAATATTTGCGTAGTTCTGTATGTCTTGATTTTGTCTTCCGTTAGGGTTTGATGTGAACTTCAAATTAAACTTGCAAATCCATGATTAGTTGCACTCAATCTTAAGAAGATAAAAATAAGAAGTAAATAATGAATGTTAAAAAAGTTCCAGTGGCTTGTTTCTATTCTAGCTGTGTTGGTTTGTTTTTATTTCATTGAATTTGAAATGTAGGGTTTTCTGTATGGTGTTGTAGACTTGTAGTTCGCAGTCGCACAATTTTGGGATTGGAAAGGGTGGTGCTAGCGCCAGATTCTTGAGGTTAGTTTCTGTAAAGTTTAGCATCTCTATTCTCTACCAACTACAAGTCTGCAACAGGTATAATTAAACGTTCTCCTATCCTTCTATTAGTTCTATATGTATACAACACATTCTTGAATTTGAAAGAATAAGTTAATGGATTCATGAGATGATTAATATTTTGTGGTAATTTCATGAAATTGGTGTGCATATTTCAAAATATCTTTATTTGATTAATGAATATACTTCCATTATTTAATTTTTAAAGATTTCTTTCTACATCATGTCTTACTCTCAAGGTCAAAGTACCCCTAGTACTAATGTAGCATCATCTACGGCTAGTACATCACCATGTCCTCCACAACCACCAACAGAAGCACAACCCACATAGTCAAAATCATCAATGCCTTCCCCAAAACCCTCATCCTCCAGAAAAAGAAAAGCACCACCTATTCCAAAGACAAAACAACCAACTATAATAGCTTCACTAGAGAGATCTTCTTCTGAGAGATCTTGGGTTTGGGATCATGTCACTAAGTGTACCGTCTCGGAAATACAAGAAGTAGAAAAGGATGGAAAGAAAGAGATGGCGGAGGTACAAGTATTGAAGGCTAAGTTTAACCATTGTCATGCCCTTTTTGCATGTGATACTAGTGGGGGTGGAACTAGTACTTACATTAAACATATCAATAAACATTGCAAGTCATATAAACCAACTGATGAGTTGCAAAAGGTTCTAGGCAGTTCTGGACCTTCTGGAGACGGTAAAAAAATGCTTGTTGCTAAAGGGTGGAGCTAAGAAGAGGCAGTGGAAGGTATCGTTGAGTATATTGTGATCGATGAGGTAGCTTTTAGTTGTGTGGAGAGTGAGAGGTTTAGGCAGATAATGTGCAAAGTTCAGCCTAAATTGCATGTTCCATCTTGGAGAACTATTGTGATGAATTTATTCAGTATGTATGATACCATAAAAGATCAATTAAAAAATGAGATACACAAGTATAGAGTGAGCTTGACTACTGATACATGGACAAGTGTGCAAAATTTGAACTACATGGTGCTAATTGCTCATTTTGTGGATGATGAATGGAATATGCACAAAAGGATTCTAAACTTTTGTTTGATTTCAAGTCATAAAGGCAAAGAAATAGGGAAGCTGATTGAGCAATATTTGGTTGAGTGGGGGATTGAAAAGGTGATGTGCATCTCAGTTGACAATGCATCGGCTAATAAGGTGGCAATTGAGTATGTTGTTTGTAAAATGCACATATGGCCTAATAGTAAAATGATTATGAATGACAAGTTTATGCATGTGAGGTGCTTAGCTCATATTATCAACTTGGTAGTGAAACATGAATTGAAAAGATTAGATACAAGTGTGGATGCTCTTAGAAATGCCGTGCGATTTGTGAGATCAAGTCCCCGAAGGTTTAGTTATTTCAAGAAATGTGTGGAAAATGAGAAGTTGGATAGTAGGGGTCTAGTTGTTATGGATGTGCCTACTAGGTGGAATAGCACATACATGATGCTAGAATCTTGCTTGAAGTTTAAAAAAGCATTTGAAAGGATGTCCGAAGATGATGAAGCCAATATATACTCCACCTATTTCAGTGAAAAAGTGCTTAATGATGAAGGAGAAGAAGTGGCAAGTAAAGAGAGGGTTGGACCACCTAAGGAGGAAGATTAGGATGGTGCAGAAGTATTTGTGGAATTTTTGAAGGTCTTCTATCTTATAACTTTGAAAGTTAGTGCAAGTAAGCATCACACATCTAATACAGCTGTTCATGATGTCATTGCTGTGGAAAACGAGATTGAAAAGCTTTTTTTGCCTGAATATATGCAAACTGGAAGAACTGTAGAGTTGGTGCTACGTGATATAGCATTCAACATGAGAGCCAAATATCGAAAATATTTTGGTTCAATTGAGTCCCTAATCAAATATTTGTAGTTGCCCTTGTCTTATACCCAAGGTTCAAATTAAGGCACTACATGCACTTATGTAGAAAGCAATTACAACTTCTTAAAGAAGAGATTCAACAGAAAAGTAATCAAGTGAACACATTGTTGAAGGCGATGTGTGATGAATATGCTTGCTAAGCTTTCAGTTCACAAACACAATAAAAGGGTAAAGAAGATTTAGTTTTGACACTTCTTCTTCAAGAGTAAAACAACCATCTTATAGTGTACCAACAGAAAATTCAATGATATTTAGCCAAATCATGGATGATTGGGAGAAAGAACTAGAAGACACCGAGGATATTGCGCTTACACATGAGGTGGATAGGTATCTCCTTGACACTGTAGAGAAAGTACAACATGGTTCACAATTTGACGTTTTGAAATGGTGGAAGTTGAAACTCTGAAATCTCAATCTCCTGGATGAGAGGAACTCGAATATATCCTTGCATGCATCATCAGAGCACTATTTGGGTGATCCACCATTGAAGCCGAGAGCTTCAAGCTTCCATTGCTCAAACCCAGATGAGGTTATTGCCCTACTTCAATTGCTTGAGTTATTCTCTGGTTTTTTTTTTTTTCTTGTTTGATTTCTTATTTAATTTAATTTTCTGAAATTGATTATGCATAGTTGATGTTTTTCGTTCGAAGTGAGGGTTTCGGATGGGGAGATGTCAAGCTCAGCACATGCACTGATGCCGCACATCAGCCATACGTCACACAACCCTCAGGCTCTCGGGCGAGCGATTCCTACCGGGCCTCTCCCTCGGGCCTGCTCGGGCTCCCTGGCCAGCACACACTGGACCACCTTCCTCGGGCTATCTGGCCCTGTTTGAGAGCCAGTCCATCGGGCTATTGCCAACGGTGGAACTGCTCTTAATGGCAGCACCACAGTGACTCATGGCGACAGCCAAAGCCTCAACCCGCCCGCTCACTCACCCTCAGCTCGCAACCCATCCACCACCACCTCCCAATAGAACATGTTTCTCCCCTATCCACCACCACACTCTCTCCTGATCTCTGCCTCTCCGCCACCCAAAAACCCAGCAACCGAAACCATGAAATGATAAACTATTGACTGAACCTTCCTTCTTCGCATGCACACTTTATCGTGGAAATAGAGCCTCCACCACCTAAGACCACTAACCCACCCAAACATGTCCCCCCTTTTATGCACAACCAAATCATTCTCCAACTACATAGCCAACCCATAATCGTTTCTCTAGACACCCCCAACCCCCATCGTCATCTGGGTTTTCAATGAATCTCATCCAACCTAAACCCTAGAACGCAACAATTTTTTTGGTGCAAATCTATACGGCTGTCTAGAAGTTTTTCCATTGAAATGGTTATGGTAGTTGATGGTGGTGCAACTTGTATATGTCAACTACCCATTTGTAAATAGGGGTCTAAAAGTCTTTTTATAAAAGGATATATATGTTACTAACATTTTTATTAAAATGTAGGTGGAAAAATATGACAATGGGGTGAATTTAGTAGCACTATTACCATTTATAGAGCCACAAATGTACTTTCAAAGTAATATGTACGCCAAAAAAATAAAAAAAAAATGAAAAAAAAATAGAGTGATACGAAAACATTGCTGAAAATGAATTCTAAACTCAAGAATATCAACGAAAAGTCTTACGTGGATTTTCTAAACCTTACAGTACGGTGATAGTGAAATCAAATAGATTTTATGACTTAAAATTGTGATGGTTAGTCAACGTTTTTTTGAGAAACATGCAAATTTTTTATTTTTGAGAAATATCAAAATATCTTCGGTCATAACTATTAGAAGTTTTGCCATTTATTGTTCCACAAATGTGTTACATGAATTTTCGTGTTCCAATGTGATCGAAAAACGAGACATTTTTCAATGTGATCGGAAAACGAGATAGTACATCACGGTACCACGATACAAAAGATGGAATATATGTGTTAAAAAGGTAATAACTTAAAAAAGAAAACATTTCCCTCCGCTTATATAAAAACACATGGTGTACCACCATGTTCCGTTCACAATGGAAAATTTCTTTGGTCTTACAAGAGAGATTTTTTAATGTGACCAGAACACATGGTGGTACAACACGTATCACTATATAAATAGTGGAATATGTGTATTAAAAAATTAATAACTTAAAAAATAAAATTTCTCATTACTTCTATAAAAACACGTGGTGTACCATTCGTGTTCCAATCACAACGAAAAATTTCTCTCAATAAATGCCCATAAACATCGACCTATATAAAAGCACTCTTAAACATAAAAACAGACGACCATTTATAGCATCGTCTTAAAGCAATAATACATGTAATTTTAGTACTAGTTTAATCCCACCGATCGTTCTCCTCTAACATTTAACACTTGAATTGTAGAAGGAAAAAAGATAAAATGGTATAACAGAAAATAATTGGCTTTATAACCGTCCAAGATCAGCAAATAGTATGCAGATCCAACGGTCTCAAATCCAAGCTCCAATACACGACCGCCTTTTTGCCCAGAAGAAAGAACAAACGACTACGTCTGTGGGTCCCCATGTACTAGAGTGATGCCCAATCACCATCTTCCACGTTCGCTGTTTTTGACTTCTTGTTAATATTCTGATTAATTTATTGGAGAAAGTTCCTACCTCCAGCACTGATTTGGGCAAAAACAGTTGCTAGTTTCCGCCCAAAATACCGTTAAAGCTTTGGAAGAGAGAGGAGAGAGAGAGAGAGAGAGAGAGAGAGAGAGAGAGAGAGAGGGAGAGAGGAGAGAGAGTCCGTTACCGACTTACGCGTTTTATTAGACACGCACGCAAGCACGGCCTTAGCCTCACAACCCCATCTTTTTTTTACTTTGTCAAATTCTCAGACCAACCCCAAAAAGGCTCTAGCTTTGCTCTTTGATCTTCCATTTTTTCACAAGAATTTTGAGAGAGATTTGGATCTCAACTTCTGCTCTTTAACTTTTACCACGCCAAGTGCACGTGGTGATCTCTGAAAAGGTAGTTCTTTAGCAAATTGTAATGCTGTTCAATGTTCATGACTTTGATTATTCCTTACTTTTTGGAATAAAGATTTGAAATTTATGAAATTTGAAATATCGTGTTCTCTGTCGATTGAATTTTAATGCTGTTCTCGGGTTTGAAATTTATGAAATTGAACTTTTGGATTGGTTCAGTGATTTGGATTTTTACCCAAGTAATATGATGGAGAAGGCAGACTCCGGGCAGAAGCTGTACACACGAATGAGGCTGTGGGAGTTTCCGGATCAGTATGTGGTCGAGCCCACTGATGGCTCTCAGGGTTCCTCTTTGGCAGTCAGTAGGGTTGACGGCTCTATGCAGCTCATTGGTGGGTTTTCTTTTTGTAAAAGTAACAGTCTTTAATTTTGTTTCTTTGGTTAAATGCTACAGATTTACTGTCATTTTACTGTTTGTGTATTTGGGTTTTCTGGCCTTGCAGATAAGCTTCCAGATTCCAGCTCCGTTCGGGTTCCTAAGATTCGAACTATTTTCGGTGTGGTTGGGATTCTAAAGCTTTTGGCAGGTAACGTTGCCTTATTCAAACCAGTCAGAGTCCAGACCTTCACGTTTCATCTTGTGTATTTGAGATCGGCATCCTAATCTTTTCGCAATCGACATCATACACAAACCAATTCATTACATAATGTGGAAGCTGAGGCTAGGCCTTAGATTTACCAAATCTAATATAATTGCAAAGTTCTACAATTTAAGAAGCGTAATAGGATAACATATTATACTATGGCGGTTTTGAATTTTAAAGTATTGGATGAGAAATTGTGTATTCCTTTCTAGCCCTGGAGTTGCAGCTTCTCCATTTCATTGATGTTGTTAGTTCATTATGATTTCAGGGTCATATCTAATGGTTATAACAGACCGTGAACATGTTGGTTCTTACTTGGGGCATCCTATCTTTAAAGTTTCATCTTTGAAGGTTTTTCCCTGTGACCATTCTTTGAAGAATTCCCCGGCTGAACAGGTGAATCCATTGTTGCTCTACCCTTCACCCCTGCTTTAGTCTTGCTTATGCGAGTGCCTATTGATACTTTTCTGCTTTCCTTAACCAAGTAGTGGCTACTGACATGAAATTTATATTGTTGTACCTTTTTGGCAGAAAAAGATGGAGACGGAGTTTTCTGGGCTGCTAAATATAGCAGAGAAGACTCCTGGTCTTTATTTCTCGTATGAGACCAATTTAACACTGAGGTGAAGTTTTTTCCACATTAAGTTGTCCCCCACCCTCTATGCCCTCGTGATAAACAAGAACAAGGGTTTCATTTAAGAGTTGAGGTGAAATTGTGCTATTCATTATATTAAAAAGTTTGTGTAATTACAGTGCACAGCGATTGCATGATTTGGGCGATGAATCTAAGTTGCTTCCACTTTGGAGACAGGTATCCCTTGATTTTGCAATTGAAGACTGAAATTGTTTCCTAATATTTTCTTGTTGCCAAAGTTATGAAAAAACTCACATAGCCATGTTTTATGTTTATCTTCATGGTTTTAATCTCATGTCTCCAAATGTTTTTCCACAGGCAGAGCCTAGATTTCTTTGGAACAATTATATGTTGGAAGGGATGATAGATAACAAGGTCCGGTCTTTGCCAACCTTTTAGTTTTACCTGTTCTGTTTTCTGATGAAGTATTAATTACCGTTTACTAACTTTTGAGCATTTATGTGGTCTTTGATTGCAGCTCGATCCGTACCTACTTCCTATTGTTCAAGGGAATATCCTTATTTCGTTCTTCCTTTCAATTTATTGCCGTTTCTCATGTGTGCTTGTGTGCCTGCATACATGCATACATTTCATACTTATGTATTATTTAGTTTATTTAGTTCATTTGTGTGTGGTGTTCGATTTTATAAACTGTTTTTCCATTGAAAGGTTCTCCTTAATTGATCATCACGCTTTCATCACTTTCAAGCAGCCATTGGCAAAGATATTATCGATGTTACTCTGATTGCAAGGAGATGCACTAGGAGAAATGGTATTCAAATCTTGCCCTGCTTTTTCAGTCGTTTGTTTATCGCCATGCTCTGTATTTTACAGTTATCATACAATTGCAGATATTTGGTTAATACAGATGTTGGTTTTAGTACAATACCATCTATGAGGAGAACTAAGGATTTGTCTATTTAAAAAATTATATTTGCATGGACGTACAAGAGTTTGAGCGATGGACCAACTAACCTTCATTTCAGTAGGTAACATTGAATAGGACGGTTGAATGGTACAGGTAGAAAGTACTATAACATCTAGGCTGATTTGCCTAACTCAACTCTGTTGCATCTGTTCAGTGCAGTAGGAAGTAAAAGGTCCAGTGATTTCTGGTGTGCATCTATGTAAAGAGTATATGCATTTCCAGCAGAATAACATTCATGCTAAATTTGGGAATCGTAGAGGTTATAATATCTTATCAAGTTAGGGCCACTATATCCATCGGAAATAGGACTTATGTCTTTGTTACTCTAGTGAGTCTCGTCAATACTAATTTGCATTTCTTGGAAGGCACCCGGATGTGGAGAAGAGGAGCTGATTCTGATGGGTATGTAGCGAACTTTGTGGAAACTGAGCAGATTATGCACTTGAATGGGTTTACTTCATCATTTGTCCAGGTAGAATTGTATAGCTGTGCATGTATAATTATGTTATGGACTTTTGTTTACGTGGTTTTATTTATTTTTTGTCCCTGATTAACTGTCCTAAATAGTTTAGTCCATCATTAATGGTTTTTTTCATTTTTTGCAGGTTAGGGGGTCAATTCCGTTGCTTTGGGACCAAATTGTTGATTTAACATACAAGCCCAAGTTTGAAATTGTGCGACTTGAGGAAGCTGTGAGTTGGTGGTTACTTGTTTTTAAATCCTAAGATTCTTTCTATTTCATTCTATCTTCATCTGACTACTGGCATACTACATCTTATGCAGCCTCGAGTGGCAGAGCGGCATTTTCTGGATTTAAGAAAAAAGTATGGGGCTGTATTAGCTGTTGATCTTGTTAACACGGTGCGAACTCCTATCCCAAACTTTGTGGAATAATTCATCTGATCATACCCAGCCAATAGGCAATCTTGAGGACTATCCACACGAATGCATGTATATATGCATATAAGTATAGATTGTGTAATGTGCACTTGTCAGTGTAATCTTAGGTTTGCACGCTATTAAACTTTTCATTCTTTGATGTTCTATATGTGGGTGTGCGCACAATTTTGGGTGTTATGTCTCAATATACTTTATTATCTTGTCAGCATGGAGGTGAAGGACGCTTGAGTGAGAAATTTGCAAGTGCAATGCAGCATATTGTTAGTGAGGATCTGAGGTAGAATTTCCCTTCACCTAACCCTTTTACCCTTCTTTTCTTCTTCTTTGGTATGGATCTGTTTTATGTTGAGATTTCTGAATATTGTAGATATTGGCACTTCGATTTCCACCATATCTGTGGACATGTCCATTTTGAGCGCCTCTCTATACTTTATGAGCAAATTGTAGATTTCCTGGACAGAAATGGGTATGTTTTCCATCAAACTGTAATAAGCGTTTAATTTCTTGGCACGCCTTTTGGTATATAATGCTTCATTATTCATTTTTCCCTTTCAAATATCATTTTACTTGTTGAGGGTGAGTTCAGCAGAAGTAGATTAATCCTAGACACTTGCATTGCATCACGCAGAGGAACGCATTGGCAATGGTATCGTTTTCTAATTAATAGGAGTATCGCCACAGATAAGCTTTTTCAAGATATATTCTGTGATATTTTGCAATAAGGAGCGATTTACTAAGTGTTAGACTACCCATATACCACAAAAGTAGTACACCTCAAAAGTTTAAATGGTCAGGGATGGGATGACATACAACAAGCTAATGTCAACAACAAAGTTGATGAAGTAATTTACGCAGCTTATGTTTAATTTATACTTATTTCCTCTCCTGTGTATTTGTGTGAAGATGCATTTATCATAAGTCCATTACGTACTCAATGCCTAACAATTGCAGGATGTCATCTTAACCCTTATTTGCTTATTCACAACGATTGAAATATAGGTATCTTCTATTGAACGAAAAGGGTGAGAAAATGAAGGAGCAACTGGGAGTTGTAAGGACCAATTGCATTGATTGCTTAGATCGTACAAATGTTACCCAGGTAAGTTAATGATCTGCAAATTGTTTGTAGAAAGTGCCAAACCCTTTATCTTTCTCCTTTTTTTTTTTTCTTCCTGTCATCGCTACTACTTCTTTCAGTTATGCAGCCAAACCCAGATTACTATTTTATTATCACTTTATTGATGGTTCTAGTTGTATACCTTTTTTTTCCCAATGTTTGTTCCCTAAAAGAGTATGATTTGTTGCAGAGCATGATAGCCCGAAATATGTTGGAATGCCAACTTAGAAGGCTTGGAATTTTTGCTGCTGAAGAAACTATTAAATCACATCCCAATTTAGATGAATGCTTTAGAGTCTGTGAGTACATCCTTTTCTCTTTTCTTCTACCTTCTCTCTTTCTCTCTTTCTCTCTCTCTCTCGCTCTCTCTCTCTCTCTCTCTATCTAGCATATAGAGGTTGTGCTTAGAGGGCTTACCATGTCTGCGGGTGCGTATTGCTTCTGATTTATTGTTTTTTTTTTTTTTCTTTCTGTTTTCCCAGTGTGGGCTAATCATGGGGATGATGTAAGCATTCAGTATTCTGGAACTCCTGCTTTGAAGGGGGATTTTGTAAGGTACTTATACATGGATCTACTCATACATCTAATGCATTCTTACCCTAGAAAATGTGATTCTGACTTAGGAAGCCGGGGAAAAATCTTTTGGAAGGTTTCGGAGCATGTTTATGTTTTGCTACTGACATAAGAATAAGATACAAAGTTTTAGTTTTTTGGTGTGGTAATTTTTGTTTATTCGGCTGGATCTTAGATGCGGACAGCGGACAATGCAAGGGATCGCTAAGGATGGAGTCAGTGCTCTCCTACGTTATTACTATAATAACTTTTGCGATGGAACAAAACAGGTTGGTACACAAGTGTTGGATCTCTTTGTATGAAAGCAATATCACCTCTTCTGCAACTATTTACGTACTGATTACTTCTTTGTTTTGGTGGAAATGCCTGAAGGATGCAATTGACCTTCTCCAAGGACATTACATTGTCTCGGTCAGCAGAGATATGACACCGTCATCACAAAAAGGAGGACTTGAGGCTGTTGCTGTAAGTCAAATTAAGATGTGTATTCATGTTAACTTTGTTTTTTATTTCCCAACTCCCGACCTTTACCAGTGTCTTAACTCGCATTATTTTGTTCTGCAGTCATTTCCACTGGCTTTGTTTTTCGTTTTGATGGGGTTCTTTTTTGCGACATTGTCATTGAGGCAAGGTAAATATAAACATGTCATGTTGTGACCAAGATAGATTTGCAGAAATCATGGCTTCGGTGGTGAAAGGGTGGGATGGGACCGGGACAATGTTGGTTCATTTTCTTGAGAGAAACAATATCTGATCGTTTACATCTTTGCAAATCTGCAACTAAATGATGATTTTGTCTCCAATGCTTTTTCAGTTAGGTACGATCTACGGCACTTGTTCTTCTCAGTTATATGGGCAGGTCTAAGTATTGCTATAGCTGCATTCGTGAGGGCCAATGGGCGTATTTTCTGCAACAGACCTCGTCTACACAAGCCTCGGTCTTAATTCTGTGCTCAGAATGTTGTGGCCGATTCATTTTGCTGTGAAGCATTTCCTGCTTGCTTCATGATATTTGATTCTTTGATTCGTACCCCACACGGAGTCTTGAATTCTTGATCAGTTATACACGAAAGTTAAAACGACATGTAAACACCTGCTTCTTTTGGTAACGACTTATATTCTTATCGTCGTTCTTTTTTTCTGTAAATGCTTGCGCCTTGTTCAAGCTTTTCATGGACATGGTTTGAAAGTTGTAACTTGAAATTTTCTGTATCTTCGCTATGACGATTAATTAGAGATTGAAATTTTGATTCCTGTTTCGTGAAACCACATTTATTTTTTTTACATCAGATTGATTCATCTATTTTCGGTTTTCATCGTGGATTTAACCGTGATCTAATCAAATTACATTTCAATCTTAGATAGCGATAACATAAAAAGAAAAAGTGGAGATACAAAATCACTCTTAAGAAGCTTGAGTTACATATGGAGGCCAGTAAAGGTGAAATGCAATCTTGTAGACAACAGTTAGGCCCCTGAGATCGACAGGGGACGATGTCACGTAGCCTTGAACAAACAGGAAATCGCCGGTGCCTCCCACAACAGGATGATCGGCGGGCTTCACATTATGCGTGTCTCCGACTACAGAAACTGAACCAGAGTGGTTCTTCAAGCGCAGAGTGATCTTAGCCACTGAAATGCTCTGAAGCCCATCTAAGCTGGATGTGACGGTAGTTCCTTGAGCTATCCCAACTGCTTTCGAAGATCGATTGGCTGTGACAGTCATCGGATCCTGGACAACAAACACGGTGCCAAAAGGGGTAGTGGTTTGACTTACGCCTGGTCCTGTTACACCATTCACTACAATATATCCGGTTCTCTTTATGGTTTTGTGTTGAAAGAGAGTGAAGTGGAGGGACTTGAGATGATGGTGGTGATGGTCATGGTGGCGACGAGACTTAGAGGCGGCTTTAGTTAGGAGGAGGGCGGAAAGTAGAACCGTAAGAAGAACTATATCAAATCGCAGAGCGAGAGCCATGGCAGTTCTAGCATGAAGAACTTGGAGAACACTGAATTTTACATGGAAGTCTAGTTCTAGTATGGAGTCTTATACAATGGGAGAGCATAAATTCACATTTGGTAGGTAATTTTTTTACTCAATATCTGCCGTCCGAACGACAAAACACAGATTTTGGGGTTTTGATCAAGACCATCCAAAGAGGGGTTGGTTGATTATCCAGAAAAGTGGCCCTTATCTCTGTTTTGAATTTTCATGCAGCAACCATGATAAAAAAGTTGAATTGGTTGCTGCATCATTTTCAAAAGTTATAGCCGCCTTCAACTGTATGTAGAGTTACATTGAGTGTGAAAAACATATCACAATAATAAAATCATTGCGGCCCAATCTTCTACTGAGTTTCAATTCTTCTAAACTGAGCAGTAGAAGATTGTTATACACGTGTTATAACATGAATGATTTAGTAAGTAAGAAGCATATGTTATTAATTAAGATCACCAAATATTGACACTGTCATGCATAGTATAAGTTAAGAATCCGGGAAAATATAAGCTGTTTGTTCAACATTTCCAAGTTCCAGAGGAATTGTAAGCATGATCACATGATTTACAAATCTCCACAGCGTTATGATCGTTACATCTGCTTCCTTTTCTTCTCCAAATAGTAGTGGTTTCTCTGGAAGTTCAGAATTGCCCAAACCAAGTGCCGCAAACCCAAATCCGGCCACAGTGCAGCAGGGGAGTACAACGGGCAGTTAGAAGTTTGCCGAAGCAGAAAATTGCTTAAGCATGTCTCACCTGAAGTTCGAATCAAAATGTCTGGATCAGGTGCCACTGACATGTACAAGTGCTTCTCAACATCCACTACCTTTACAACAGGAAGCTGCTTCTCACTCTCTAGAAATTCCCCTTCATCTTTTTTGACATGTTTAACCCCTGTGTTTTCCTTCTCCTCCCCCTCAACTTTCTCATGTGATCCGTACGTACGTAAATAGTTGCAACCGTCATCACAAAAAGGAGGACTTGAGGCTGTTGCTGTAAGTCAAATTAAGATGTGTATTCATGTTCACTTTGTTTTTTTATTTCCCAACTCCCGACCTTTACCGGTGTCTTAACTCGCATTATTTTGTTCTGCAGTCATTTCCACTGGCTTTGTTCAAGCTTTTCATGGACATGGTTTGAAAATTGTAACTTGAAAATTTCTGTATCTTCGCTATGACGATTAATTAGAGATTGAAATTTTCTGTATCTCCGCTATGACGAATAATTAGAGATTGAAATTTTGATTCCTGTTTCGTGAAACCACATTTATTTATTTTTACTTCAGATTGATTCATCTATTTTCGGTTTTCATCGTGGATTTAACCGATGATCTAATCAAATTACATTTCAATCTTACATAGCAATAACATTAAAGAAAAAGTGGAGATACAAAATCACACTTAAGAAGCTTGAGTTGCATATGGAGGCCAGTAAAGGTGAAATGCAATCTGGTAGACAACAGTTAGGCCCCTGAGATCGACGGGGGACGATGTCACGTAGCCTTGAACAAACAGGAAATCGCCGGTGCCTCCCACAACAGGATGATCGGCGGGCTTCACATTATGCGTGCCGCCAACTATTGAAACTGAACCAGAGTGGTTCTTCAAGCGCAAAGTGATCTTAGCTACTGAAATGCTCTGAAGTCCATCTAAGCTGGATGTGACAGAAGTTCCTTGAGCTATCCCAACTGCTTTCGAAGATCGATTGGCTGTGACAGTCATCGGATCCTGGAAAACAAACACGGTGCCAAAAGGGGTAGTGGTTTGACTTACGCCTGGTCCTGTTACACCATTCACTACAATATATCCTGTTCTGTTTATGGTTTCGTGTTGGAAGAGAGTGAAGTGGAGGGACTTGAGATGATGGTGGTGACGGTCATGGTGGCGATGAGAGGTAGAGGTGGCTTTAGTTAGGAGGAGGGCGGAAAGTAGAACCGTAAGAAGAACTATATCGAATCGCAGAGCGAGAGCCATGGCAGTTCTAGCAGGAAGAACTTGGAGAATGCTGAATTTTACATGGAAGTCTAGTTCTAGTGTGGAGTCTTATACAATGGGAGACCATAAATTAGTGTGGAGTCTTGTACAATGGGAGACCATAAATTCACATTTGGTTGGTAATTTTTGACTCAATATCTGCCGTCCGATCGACAAAACACATATTTTGGGGTTTTGATCAAGACCATCCAAAGGGGGGTTGGTTTTATCCCGGAAAGTGGCCTTTATCTCTGTTTTGAATTTTCAAGCAGCAACCATGATAAAAAAGTTGAATTGGTTGCTGCATCATTTTCAAAAGCTATAGCCGCCTTCAACTGTATATAGAATTACATTGAGTGTGAAAAACAGATCACAATAATAAAATCATCGCGGCCCAATCTTTTATTGAGTTCTGATTCTTCTGAACTGAGTAGTAAAAGATTGTTATACACGTGTTATAACATGAATGGTTTGGCAAGTAAGAAGCATATATTATTAATTAAGATCACCAAATATTGACACGCTGTTATACATATTATAAGTCAAGAATCCTGAAAAATATAAGCTGTTTGTTCAACATTTCCAAGCTTCCAGAGGAATTGTAAGCATGATCACATGATTTACAAGTCTCCACGGCGTTATGATCGTTACATCTGCTTCCTTTTCTTCTCCAAATAGTAGTGGTTTCTCTGGAAGTTCAGAATTACCCAAACCAAGTGCCACATACCCAAATCCGGCCACAGTGCAGCAGGGGAGTACAAAGGGCAGTTAGAAGTTTGCCAAAGCAGAAAATTGCTTAAGCGTGTCTCACCTGAAGTTCGAATCAAAATGTCTGGATCAGGTGCCACTGACATGTACAAGTGCTTCTCAACATCCACTACCTTTACAACAGGAAGCTGCTTCTCACTCTCTTGAAATTCCCCTTCATCTTTTTCGACATGTTCAACCCTTGTGTTTTCCTTCTCCTCCCCCTCAACTTTCTCATTGCAAGCTTCGCTAGTATCAAACCCCGCTTCTCCATCCATACCACCATTGCAGCCACCCTTTGTTCCGTTAATCTGTGCTCGAATTTCGCTCTTTTTCACATTGCAGGATTCTTCAACAGCATGGACAATCTCATCACAAGAAGTATAAGCCACGCAGATTAAAAGCACAGCCTTTGAATTATTGGCAGTGGCCTTCATTGCCTTCTCAGCAGCAACCCTCACAGACTCGTTCAAAAGCTTCAAGTTACCGATAAAGTATACCCGAATGCCAAACTGGTTTACAATGCTTTCTTTCTCTAGCAACCCTTCAATCTTCTCCTGCAACAAATCCATCAGAGTTTTCACCTCGTCGGGCCGCCTCTTGAAATTGTCAATGCTGAAGGCATAGACTGTCACATACTTCACTCCCAACTCGTAGCAGTACCGGAGAATCGACATGAGAGATAGAAATCCGGCTTTGTGGCCTTCCCCAACAGGCAAGTTCCTCCTCTTTGCATACCTTCTGTTTCCATCCATGATGAAGGCTATGTGTTCAGGAATGGGGCCCACAGAGACAACATTGAACAAGCATTTCCTCAGAAAAGTGCTTAAACCCCCCAACTTTTGGCTTGCAATTGCCCTGCTTTCGCTTTCACTAATCACACTGTTTTTCTCCATCATATGATCCCGCTGAAGAGAAATGAAACCTCAAGTGAACACGAAACCTTAAACACCCTCCATATAAATACAAGAAAATAAAGAAAATGAGTTGAAAGATCTGAGACATGATTGCTTCCTCTTTACAAATCTATCACCGTTGGAGATGTGCGTTGTACTTTTATTAAGTTAATTGTGTATATATTTTAGTACATGATTCACAGCTAAGAAATAATGACTTTTTAACTGTAAGTACTCAGCAATGTTCACGAGACCAAAATGGAAAAGAAGGCAAAGAAAAGTCCACAAGCATAGACTTTTATGTTGAAAATCAGGCTAAGCAACGAAATTCAAAATATACCTCGTAAAGACTACACTTTGACTAATTTGTTTCTCAAATTAAATTACGAATTATATTTATAGCGATATAACCTAGAGAAATCTTAATGCGTAAATGCCAAAAATACCCTAATACAAAATCAAATCTCTAATTAATTTCCTAAATAAACCTAAGAAATTCCTACACTTTATGGATGAAGTAATTTGTCAAACAGAAGACAGGTCATCCCTAATTATAATTGGAGTGCATGACCCTTAAGTCAAATTATACATAATTTCTCACCTATCAATTCCAAGTTCAAAAGAATTAGCTTAAACAACAAAGATTACATATCAAACACAGTATATAGTGCATAAAAACAGAAAGAAAAAAAAATCAAAAAACCCACCCCAACCAAGCCAAAAAATACCATCAGAGCACTGAACTTTATTGTTAGCAGTCAAAAATAATTTTAGGTTCCAAGTAATGACACAAAAAATTCAAAGTTTGGGACTTTTTTCTCCCTTCCTCAGTTTTCTGAGCAGCCAAATGCAGTACAAAAACAAAAGAAATATTCTAAAACTCGTTCACACCGCATAAGAAACTAAATAAACATTTATATACAAGTATACATATGAGGAAAATAATTTCGACACGCTCTTTTTCTCCCTCTACACACCCTGTTTAAAATCATTTATCAATTCTCCATATTTGATTCGATTCGATTCAAAGACTAGAAATAAACGAGAGTTTACACGACGAGAAAAAAAAGATGCCTACAAATAATTTCCCATCACACACAGAAAAAAAAATCCCAAGATAAAGTGTGAAGGACTTACAAGAATATGTTGATGAATGAGTCGAGCACTGGCTAACGAATGAAGATTGAAGAAAATTAAGACCTATATATAAGCGTGGTTAGGGAGCCACCGAGCCACAAAAACATGAAATTATCTTTCAAAAAATATGAGATTAAAAGAAAAACATCGATCGCAGAAAATGGAAGATAATTGAGAAGAACACAAAAGCCACGAAAAATATACGAATGCGAGAAAATCAGAAGAGTTTAGAAGAAAGTGATGTTTGCTGGTTTTAAAATATGAGATTAAAAGAAAAACATCGATCGCAGAAAATGGAAGATAATTGAGAAGAACACAAAAGCCACGAAAAATATACGAATGCGAGAAAATTAGAAGAGTTTAGAAGAAAGTGATGTTTGCCGGTTTTTTTGGCATGAAAGTAAGAAACCAAAGCAAAACAGCCATACATATGCACCCACAGAGGAACACACAGACACAGTAGTTCAACTGTAATCTGCAAAGTTACAAAAAAATATTGAAAAGAAAGGTGAAAGGGAAAGAGCACCCTGTGCATTGCACAGTCACCCCTTTTTTTATCATTTTCTTCTGCTTTTTGTGGGGGTAATTTTTTAAGGGAGGCTTCCTTTGTCCTTCTTTGAAAATGGCAAAGAAGAAAGGATATTCTTTTCTATATTTTTTTATTTGAAAGAAACAAGAGTGCTCTCGTTTATAATAACGAATGATGTTTATAGAAAATGTTATTTACAAAGTAAACTTTAACGGTAAATTAAAAACGTATATAAAACACAAAAAAGGCTAAAGTAAAAAGTAAATGTCGAATAAAATTGAAAAATTAAAACAATGAAAATCCTAATTATACCCCTTCGCTACCACCATGAATCGAAGCCGCTGGAATCTAGCATTAAAAGTATTGACGAAATAGTATTTGTGAATTTAGTCTAGATCTTCAACTATCAAACTCTATATATATAAACCATATGATATAACTGTAAGTATTCATTAACAGTCACATCATTTGATCAACCATTATAATTAATTAAAAGTTTGGTCTTTTTTTTCTTTTTAATGTAATAACGCAAATAAAAATATCACAAAAATTAAATTCAAGACCTCTTCCAACAACACAAATAACGTAAATAACTAAAAACTTCTATACAATGATCTCACCATCTCTTGAGTTATGTTTTCATGTTCTTGTAGCTGATTTTGTCCCAGTTGTTCCTTAGGTTTTTGTTCAAAAGAGGACTTGGTTAAAAGTATGTTTATTTTCTCTTCTTTGAAAAAGATTTTCAAACACTTTCTTCTATTTTTACTTAATTATTTTTTAGTTTATTCTAAAAGTTAGAAAATCGCATGGTTATGATAGGAAGATATTTATGTGTGAAAATCACTCTCTACATATTACGTTATCATAATGGTGTAGTCACAACTAGATATCAAACTAACGTAATCATTGATATTAAAGAACGTTGTTCATCTTCTTTATACATGCATGAAATGCTCTTCACCTTTCTCCATTATAACATGATTATGATGGAGAGAAAAAATGTGTGAAAATAATTTTTTACAAATTACGTTATCATAATAAGGTAGCTACAACTAGATATCTAACGAATGTAATCATTGATATTAAAGAACGTTGTGCATCTCCTTTATACATGCGTGAAATGCTCTAAGTGCATCTGATCAGTTGCTAAGGATCATCATTTCCCTTTGCAGTTATGAAAGTCACACTATCTGCCTCAACATATTAATTTCGTATGCAGCATGCAATTAACATGAACTATCTACTTTAATATTTCCATGTATTATATATTATGCGGTTGTTAATTATGATTAACCTACGGGTGACGAATAATTGATCGACGCGTGGAGCTTGATAGACTTGTGCTGTGTTTAAGAGTCGAGATCATTGTAATATTGCTTTGGAAAAAAACGGATTGAGATCCTCTACGGATCTCACTCTCCCAAGCATGTGGATCGAGTAATCTAAAAAATTCAAGAGAGATGTATGGGTGTTGGAGAGAGAGATTGTATGTGAGGTAGACCATTAAGATGAGCTAATGAAAACCGCAAAATTTAAATTGAATGATCCGAATAGCTTGATGCGCAGAAAGAAACCATCTAAGCCCATATTATAAACTGCTTTGCTAATACTAATAGTATGGTTTAACAAACAATTCTTTAATTCAGCACAAATGGTGATTACAAGAACAAAATTTGTTATGAATTTCAATATTCAATCGCTACAATTAAATAAAAAATCAATATGGAAACTGACAAAAAGAAAAGTGATTGTTCAAACATTCTCAATTTGATGTTTGAACGTCAACATACATACACCTTTAAGTATCACTATCACACTTTATCATTGAGATCTATGAAACCTAGAATCATACGATGAACGGCGAATCGACTGTTTATTGGCTCCAAAAGTAAAAGTGGCTTGCACAGATGTAAGTTTGGATTGTTTTGGTTGTTCCTTGATTGCTCGAATTTGTTTCAATTGCTCCACGATTTCTATCATGGAAGGCCTGCTTTTAGGGTCCGGCGCTAAGCATTTTTCAGTAATCTGTGCTGTCTGCATTGCTGCCTTGAAGGCATATTGGCCTTCCATCCGCACATCCAAAATAGTTTTCAGCTTTCTTTTGTTCAGTAGAAGTGGTTTAGCCCATTCTACAAGTTGTTGTTGTTCCTTGGGACGTTTCAGATCAAGTGCTCGTAGCCCTGTCAGAATTTCAAGCAAGACAACGCCGAATCCATACACATCGCTCTTCACGTACAAATGGCCTGTTGGTATAGGGTATAGTACATGTCAGGAATATGTATCAGCTGATTTGTGAAAACCAACAGAGGGAATGTTCATATCTAAATTCCAAAAGATCTTCCTTTTTTTTTTAGAGATTGATTACCTGTTGCAATGTATTCTGGAGCAGCATAACCATATGTTCCCATGACCCTAGTCGAAACATGTGATTCTCCACCAACTGGCCCCAATTTCGCCAAGCCAAAATCTGAGATTTTTGCATTGAAACTCTGCATAAATAAAAGAGGAGATTAACAAAATAGACAGTTTAATTATATCACATACATGCAGAGTGGCTGTAGCCACATTAGCTAGAGTGGATGTGATCCTCCCCATGCACCCAATTTCAAATCGCTCTGCAGCCGCTCAGATTAGTATAAAGAATAATATCGCTTGTATAAAAAAAATTACATCACATGGATGGTTACAGCTGTAGGTTCTTAGAAAGATAATGCAGTATACATAATATATATATGTATGACAGAAACGCTTAGGTAGAAGTACAAACCCCATCAAGCAATATATTTGAGGCCTTAAAATCTCTGTAGATGATTTTCTTTTCTGAACTGTGTAAGAAGGCCAGGCCTCGGGCTGCTCCGATAGCGATTTTTAGTCTTCTGTCCCAAGAAAGTGGTTCAATGCCCGCACTCCCTGCTCGAAACAAAAGTTCTAAAGTTAACAAAATGGTATAGAAGCAAAATATCTTAAGTTCCATGGTTTCACATTGGTTTCTTACTTCTGAAAAGATGATTCTCCAAACTTCCTTTCTGCATGAACTCATAAACAAGGAGTAGTTCTTTGTCTTCCCAACAGTAACCTAATAGCTTCACGAGGTTCGGATGCGAAAGCCGACCTAGAAAATTCACTTCCGACTGCATTGTCAAATATGATCAAGAGAAGAGAAACATATTTAGCTTCAAAAGAAAGAGTGATGCTGAGAAATTATGTAAGAAGAAGAAATAGGGCTATGAGACATGACAGACTGAACCAAATTGTATAACGAGGATAGCATCATAGCAAATCACAATGTAACATTAAAACCACACCACCTACTTGGATTGGGATTTTAAAGAAAGATATGAACTCCAACTAATATGATCTCCCATGACAAAACTGGTGCTTTCCAAACTAATGAAGTGTGGAACTAAAAAATACAAGTTTAAATTTCTCACTTTCTGTACCAAAACTTAAACATATCTTACCCTAGTTTTGAATTAAAAATAGTGCTCGAATAAATAAGATGTAATGATCAATGCATAGTGCAAGAGTTACATAAGGAATGGTTCTACTATTAATCAACACATCGAGACATTTTTTTGATAAAAGCCTAATCTGCAATGCAGATGCAAGTTAGGGACATTTTCGACAAAGTCTTCATTCAAATAGTGTTGACAAGAGTCAACGTCTTCAGTTCGGTCGAACTCAATTCATGGCTTGATCTTAGCACGATTGAACTATTCCCTTCCCTCATGACCAATCCGGATCTCTTTGTGAGGATTTCGAGAATCCGATAATCGTGTCCGTTCATAGTAAATCATGTGATCAGAAATTATTTTAAATATTTTTAAATTACATATAAATAGTATTTGATAAAAATTAACTACACGATATATAATAAATGAACACAATTCACGAATCTTTCGAATCCACGCAAAAAAGATTGAGGATCCTGTTGGCCTCATGACTTCCTCACGGTCTATTTCTATTTCTTAATTTGTAATGAACAAGAAAACGACAGATATTTCTTCTAAAGTGGGGCCCACGTCCTGCTGAACTCCACTGGAGTAGAAAAAATAATAAATACTGTGAGGTAGCAGGCTTGCCAAATCATGACATGTTATGGAAAGAAGATTTTTTTTCGATTTTCTTGGTGAGATTTTATTGAATTTGTACGTGAATATCGTTTATTATGCATCGTATAATTATTTTTAATTAGATATTATTTATATTTAATTTTAAATAAAATAATTTTAATTGTACGATATACAATAAATAATTAAAATATAAAAATCTTCAGAAATTGAATTCGAATGAAACCCAAATTCATGATTAAAATTAAAAAAGATGCCGTCTTCGATAAATTATACTCTTTGACCAAAAAAAATTATAAATAAATAGCAGAACAACTGGTCCTGACTAATTAAAAATTCATAATAATAAATCAAAGTTGAAAAAATAAATAAAAATACCTGCCACTCTTGAAATCCTTGCCCATTTTCCGGGTTCAATTTCTTGATAGCAACCATCATTCCAGTGCCAGCTTTTGAAGGCTGAAGTGTTTTCTCATCCACCCAACCTTTGAAAACTATCCCAAATCCTCCCTCACCAAGAACTGCATCTGACTTGAAATTTCTGGTGGCAGCCTTCATCTCTGCAAAAGTGAAGACTCTCAAGTTTGGGGACTCCAAAATCTGCCCATTGGGTTGTTGTGATTGTAATTCTTCAATTTTGGGGCTTGATGATGCTTCTGAAAACTGACTTCTTCCTACACTGCTGCTTGTGTTTGATAATATGTTCTTGCTGTGAGTTCCCGATGTCCCTAGAAAAACATAACACATGATTAATATGCGTGAACCGTGTATGAAATTCAATGACCGTTTTCGTCTGAAAATACGATATGCTAGATATTCGAGAGGGTGATATGAACTTGGAGTACCAGGGCGGCAAGGCTGATGGACTGCCCTGGCCAACTGACCTAATATGAACATGAATTTGTGAAAATTTTGATGACCCTTTTTTTTATTTTTATTAAAGTGGTCTAATGTTGGAGTAAACTGTACCTGGAGTTGAAGGTATGTATTTGTTGGGATGAGGATCATGAGATGTCCAGCAATTCCCCATGATTCAATTTTGTCAACTAGAAAAAAGATCTGTGTAATTTTGCAAAGGTGGGGAGACAAAAGGAGAGATCTTGAAGGAGGAGAATGGAAGTGGAATTTATGTGGTTGGAAGTGGCATTTTATATAGTTGGAGAGTTGGACTTTCTGCGCGACTGGGGAGTTGCCATGAACCCACTAGGTTGCTTCATTTTTTAATTTCTAACAAAAAGATTAAAACTTTAATCTTCATATTTAACGCCAAAACATAAGGATTAATTGGCTGTATCCTTAATTCCATCTGGTCAACCGTTTCTTTTTATCCAAAGTTCCAAACCCTTCTATTTTTCACTTGCTTGGCATCAGCTGTGAAAACGAAATATTTAACTAATTTTAACAGTCAACCCCCAATATTTAACTGATTTTAACAGTCAACCCCCAATTATTAACGACGTCATATGACAGCACAGTTTTATATATGCATGCAGCAGCAGTCATCCGCCTTTTATTTATTGGATAATATTAGAAAGATTAAAATTTTAAATTAAATTTACAAATCAAATAAAATATAACCAATACAAAATATACATATGTGTCAATATTTAAATAACAATCAAATCATAAAAAAAAAAAAACGTATCATTTGGTTTACAAGATTTTATTTAAAAATTTGGTTTTCCTAACACAACCATATCATAATACAAGTGATTAGATGCTTGAAAAAAAAAAAAAAATTTCAATCACGTGTATTATGAAACTTCTGTATTCAATTGAGAATTTGAGAAGATGTGAGATTTGTAGAGATTCCATATCAAATTTTGTAGAGATTCCATATCAAATTTTGATTCAATTCTCTGGAAGTCTCATGCGAAGAGGTGAGATTTGTGGATGCTTAAAATACACTACGAAATCTCTCAAATTCCCTCTAATTCCTCAACTTTCTCAAATTCTTTAAAATCAAATTCTAATTGAATACACCTGAAATGTTATAAACTTATTTAAAATCCTAATTGAATACACCCAAATTTCTAAGGATTTTAATAAACTATCTTAAAATTCTAATTAAAAACACCTTCAATTTCAGAAAATCACTTAAAATCTTGATTGAATACCCCTAGATTCATTAAAAGAATTAAAATTCCTCAAAATTCCAATTGAATACACCCCCTTAGTATACTAAGATACGTTTTTTATGCACAAAACTTTCTCCAATGAATGGGGTTTGTTTATGCTAAAACTTATAATTAGAGAGGAGCACTTGATTATTATTCTTGTTGACTACATCGACGCCAATTGCTTATAGGTAAGAAATGGCTTGACGCTTATTAGACTCCTCCTGTAATGGTTGACCTAAGTTTTTTTTTTCTCTTACCCTCAACCGCAAAGGGTTTTGTAGCTAAAACAGTCCAAGAACACATATTCATGCATCTGCAATTCTGTGTGCGGTTCTTTCTCCTCACCCAATACCGACTGTAAAAAAGAACATAACTTTGAAATTTTTATTTTTATATATAGAATCATTTAAAATAATCAAAGAGAAAATCATCTACGAAAACCACATATTAAAATTAATTTTAAAAGTTTCGTAAAAAATTATAAAACCAAAGTTCATGTGCATGATCATAAAGAATACAATGAGCATGCTTTTTTTTTCTTTAATTAGAACACAATGAATACCTTAAAATACATTTACGATACACCTATGGTTAAATTGGTGAGAAAAATAGCTCCCATAACAATACAATGAGTACCTTAAAATTTGAGCCTTTGACTGCTAAAACCTAAAAATACATCATAAGTTCATAACAACCTATATTATTTAGCATGTATCTCCTTGATTAGAGCAATGTTAATGGTCCCTCAAGCGAAAATAAGAAATAAAAAATAAAAACTTTGCATATACATTTACTAAAAAAAAGATAATTGGAGCAATGATCCCTCAAGTATAGTTTAAGTGGAGCTTTGTTTCATGTACTTAAAGTTCATGAGTATCCCTGAACTGGTATTCATGTAGAGTAATGATACTTTTGGCTAATTACATTAGAACTTTCATCAATTTTTTACCCTTTTAAACCTTTTATTTTGCATAGAAGTTCGAACGGAGTTAGTAAACAAGATCATTGCTCCACATTAGAACAAGCTCAAAGACCATATATGCTCAAAGATATTCAGCTTATAAGACCAAAACTTTAATTAGAACAAAACTCAATGACCATTGCTCTAATTTTCTCGAAAATAAAAGTGACTTTGCATGCATGGCCACTCAACTTATAAAGGTGGCTTACAACACAACAGTCTTACTCTGCGGGGGACACACGGACCTCATTTCGTACAATCGATTAATCATGGCTTTAGTGCTGATTGGGAACTCGAAAGCATTTGTGTTCGTAAGTCTTTGTGCTAGAAGTATTTTTATTGTAGATTTTTTTTCTACCAAACATGGTTTGAAACATTTTTAGTAGTTAGAAAACACTTTTAGCCCATCGCAAAGTCTCAATCATGAATTTAACATGTATGTACGGGGTAATGTAATTTAATAATTTATACGTGATTTGAGCAATGAAGATTCAATTTTGTAGATTTAAACGAACTTAGATAATAATGCTCAATGGGATATGTAACTCCACCTAGAAAAAATGATTAGTAGTTCTCCTAGCGTTGCATATTTGTTGAAATTATTTGTTTGATGTCAACTAGCTGTAAGTCAGAATAAGTTGCTAGAACCCACTCTTAATTTGTTAAGTGTCTTCTAAATGAGAGGCTATATTCTTATATATGTCTACTTGCAACAACTGTAAATTAGTCGTTTGTAGTTGTGGTTGAAGAAAAATCTTATATTTTAGATGTTACCTATCATAAATGTATTAGATTGTTTGAAGCGTGAACAATAATTGAAAAAAGTTCTTTCAATCTATTAACGATTTAAGTTACAAAAGGGTATGTCCATTTTTGGAAAAGAAATCACAGTAGATCATTGTGCTTTTGAGTTTCCTCAAACGAATAACATTGAGGCTGCTTACTTCTGCTCGTGAAAGAAGAAAAGATACAGAAACAGCTAGACCGAGTGAGCCAAACCGAGTCGCCAATAAAACCAAAGCAAAAGCAGAAAAACAGAAGCAGCCGCAAGTGTCACGTTTTACACACCTTAAGGTAACAGGGCATGACACTTGGGAAAGCCACACGCTAGCACAGAGTCCCTGGCCAAAACCCCAGATGCGAAGAATCAACAAAGTGTCCAAAGCACAAAGTTAAACATGCATTTTCTATGGTGCCCGGAATATAAGATACCACAAACTTTTTTACTCTTGAATTTTTAATTAAAAATTAAATTTTAAAATTTAACAGTTAAAAAAATTCGAAGTGCTTTAATTAGAGAGTGTCTTATACTTCGAAACACCATATAATTTTTTAGCAAAACAAGATTTCGCAATTCGCAAGTTTGCAGAAAAGGTGCCTGCAGGTAAAGGCAAACCTCCGTGCCTGACCTGTCGACCAGAAGTTAACCTACCCATGGGATAACGAAAGTTTCTATGAATTCGTGTCAGCCGCATTTTCTGTTTGACATTTAGGGCATAAGACAAAGCAAAGAGTGCAGATCAGTTTAAGATCGTCAAGGGGGAATGAATTCATGTTTCATGCTTGGACAGAAAGCTGAGATTTTACAGTGTTTACATGGAAGCAAGCGTACATACATGACCCTGTTTGACTGGAAGATGAATGGTAATTCATACAAGTAATGAAAGGATGTCTAAATTTATAAAACTTATATGTCATTTAATTTCCAGGTGACACATCATTTAGTTTACAAATTTTATTTATAAATTTAATTTTACTAGCATTACTCAATTCATAACTAGCATGTTTTCTTACTCAAAATGAAAAGTCGTGAATTCAGAAAGTCATGAATCTGGAAAAGGAGAATAATGAGATAAACTACTTCCCACAATTAATCTAAGAGTAACGCTAGGAAGGCTAAATGTGTAAACAAAATTTTGTAAACTATATGACATGAAAGTTGATTATTAAACTATTACTGAAGTATTGATTAACGTTCTTATTTCTTATCGGCGACACATAATTTAATTTACAAATCTAATCTATAAATTTAGCCTACTAGCATTGGTCTTAATTTAATTCCCGGTTTTTTAGGTATTGTAGATCAAACAATTGAAGGACGTATATTCATACATTGTGTGCGGTTCCTTCTCATCACCCAATTCGGCAGTAAAAGAAAACATAACTTTGAAATATTTATTTTTAAAGTTAAAATAATTTAAAGTAATTACAGAGAAGATCATCTACGAATTTTTATACCGTATATTTTAAAATTGGCTTTAAAACTTTCGTAAAAATGTTCCCCCCATAAAAAAAATACAAACGAGTACCCCCGTAGCTATTTTTATTAGAATACAATGAATACCTTAAAATTTGAAACTTGGAATGCTAAAACCTACAAATACAACATAAGTTCTTAACAACGTATTTACTTATTTATATATTATCTCCTTGATTAGAGCAATGTCAATGATCCCTCATTTCATGAAAGTAGTGCAACCCACACATTTATTTTTATTTCTCGCACACTTCTCTTAATTTTTTATCGTCAGATCGAATAAATTGAAGAAGATTAATTATAAAAAATTAACATCGGTATGTGAGAGATAAAAACAAATAGGTGTGTAAATAGCACTATCCTTTCGTAATTGTGCGTCTCTCATCATAGAGTCAAAGCAAAAATAAGAGAATAAAAAATAAACTTTGCACATATTTTACCAAAACAAAATAATTGGAGAGTTGATTAAGCATCATTAGTCACTAAGCTTTATTAGGAAAGTATATAAATAGAGTTGTATTTTCCTTATTCATTAAGAAAGAAATAATACAAGGCTTATTTCTTATATGGTATCAGAGCCTCTCTGCTTCATCGCCTCTCGATCCTTCTTCTCTCTGCGATTTCTTCGTCGATAAGTGCGATTTCTTCTCGATTTTTCTTCGATCTCTAATCTTTGATCATGGCATCTTCAACTTCGTCTCCGGTGCAGCCTGAAGTTGTTGTTCCAAATCCTGCAATTCCTTCCCCCGATTTTGCAGCGATGAACCCTAATTCCTCGATCTCATCAATTTCTTCCATCA